ATCTACATAAAGAAGAAGCAGGGTGGTCCCTTGAGCTGTTTTTCTCACAAACAGAGCAGTATCATAAGAACTGGAGGTGAAACCACAATCATAAATAGTAGAACTGAACTTGGCAAACCAAGCTCGTAGGGCTTGCTTAAGACCATATAATGCACGCTGAAGTTTGAAGACCTTATGAGGCGGATAAGTAGACCCAGGAGGAGGTTGCATGTAGGCCTCCTCGAGAAGATCACCATTAAGGGAAGCATTTTTCACGTCCATTTGATAAAGGTCCCATTGACGGGTGGCAGCAACAACAATCAAGCTGCGAACAAAGGTGAGACGGGCAACATGAGCAAAAGTCTCCTCATAATCAATACTATATTCCTAGTTGAAACCTTTCGCAACAAGGTGGGCTTTATATCTCTCAGTAGAGCCATCAGAGTGGGTCTTGATTTTGTACACCCATTTGCAGTCAATGACAGTCTTGCTAGGGGAAAGATCAACAATGTCCCAAGTATGAGTTTTGTCTAAAGCCTGCAATTCATCAGTCATGGCATGCTGCCAAAGAGGATTATAGCGAGCCTCATGATAGGAGGTAGGTTCATGAGTAGAAAAAGCAGTGGAGCTAACAATATAATCACGAAGACGAGTAGAAGGTTAGGTTACTCGGTGTGGTCGAGCAGAGGGTGGAGGAGCCAAAGGACATAAGAGAGACTCAATAGGAGGTGAGAATCCTAAGGGAGCAAGAGCAGGACCATCAGAGCGAGCAGACTCATGGGCAAGACCAGTGCAAAAGTCTCCTCATAATCAATACTATATTCCTAGTTGAAACCTTTCGCAACAAGGTGGGCTTTATATCTCTCAGTAGAGCCATCAGAGTGGGTCTTGATTTTGTACACCCATTTGCAGTCAATGACAGTCTTGCTAGGGGAAAGATCAACAATGTCCCAAGTATGAGTTTTGTCTAAAGCCTGCAATTCATCAGTCATAGCATGCTGCCAAAGAGGATTATAACGAGCCTCATGATAGGAGGTAGGTTCATGAGTAGAAAAAGCAGTGGAACTAACAATATAATCATGAAGACGAGTAGAAGGTTGGGTTACCCGGTGTGGTCGAGCAGAGGGTGGAGGAGCCAAAGGGCATAAGAGAGACTTAATAGGAGGTGAGGATCCCAAGGGAGCAAGAGCAGGACCATCAGAGCGAGCAGACTCATGGGCAAGACCAGCAGACAAGGTGGTCTCTAAAGGGGCAGGCAGGGGCCTTGAATCAATCTTATCAGAAAATAGATCTGTGGAAGGGTTAGTAAAAAATAAAGAGGGTGAGGGAATGGATAAGCGGAATTGGGAGAGGGAGGAAAACATTTTGTGTTCCCAAAAAACCACATAACGAAAGATACAGAGGTGCTGGGAGATAGGATCCCAACAACAATACCCTTTATGTTCAATTCCATGCCCCAAGAAACAACAAAGACGTGAACGAGGTTCAAGTTTGTTGTGTTCATGAGGTTGGAGAAGAACAAAACAGGCAGAACCATAGACCCTAAGATTGGTGTAAGGGGGACGAGTGCCATGTAAACGGTCATAGGGAGTGTGATTATGAATGACAGGCGTAGGGATACAATTTATAGTATAAGCAGTAGTGAGAGCAGCTTCACCCCAAAAATTTTCTAGACAAGAGGAAGAGAGAAGGAGAGCTTGAGTAGTGTCGAGAATATGCCTATGTTTCTGTTCAGCACGTCCATTTTGTTGAGACGTGCCTAGACAGGAACGATGAGACTGAATACCATGACTCTGAAGAAAAAAAAGAAAATCAAAATCGTTATATTCATGGCATTGTCAGAGCGAAAAATCTTAATAGTTTTAGAAAATTGGGTTTGTACCATTTTAGCAAAATTGTAATAAAGTTGTTTAAGCTTAGAGCGATTTTTCATAAGAAACAACCATGTAAAATGGGAAAAATCATTTATAAAAACAACAAAATAGTGTGCGCCTCCCATAGTAGGAGGAGGGAGGGGCTCCAAACATCAGAATGGATGAGATCAAAAGGTGCAAGAGAAATAAAGTCACTTTTACTAAACGATAAAGCAGGTTGTTTGGCAAGTTGACATGACAAACAATCTAAAATATCAGAACTGACACTACCTAATTGACCCCTAGAAATTAAAGACTTTAACTGACTAACAGAAAGATGTCCTAAATAACAGTGCCAAAGCTGAAAAGGAGATAAAAGAGAAGCAGTAGTAGGAGCTGCAAGCTGAGAAGAAACCGGGGCACATGAAGGTGAATGAGTTCATAGAGACGTCCATGCTTACGGTCGATCCCAAGAGTTCGCCCTGTTTGAGGATCCTGCACCAAACAACCAATATGAGAAAAGGTAATAGTTAGACCATGCTCACACAATTGACCAATGGAGATAAGATTTAAGGTAAGAGGAGGCATAAGATACACATGGAATAAAGATAAGTGAGAGGTGGAAACAGAACCAACATGACTTATAGACAAAAGAGACTCGTCAGCAGTATGAATAGAAGGAACATGAGAAGAGAGAGAAGTAAAAATAGTAGGGTCGAATGCCATGTGATTACAACAAGTTGAGTCAAAGTACTAGGAAGTGTTACTTGAGGTGACAAACAAAACAGTAGAGGGAGGAGTACCGGACGTGGAGAGAAATTGTTGGAACATGGCTTCGACATCGGTTTGAGAAAAGACTGGAGTAGAAGGGTCTATAGATACAGAATAAGGTAAATCCTCTAATATAGCAGCAGCAGTGCGATGAGCAGGCATAGATTTAAATTGATTCCTAGAATGTTGAGAGATGCCCCGTGAAAAACTCCCAGTGGAAGGACCATTGCAAGAGGATGAACCAGGAGAGGCTCGTGCTGGATTGCGGAAGCAATCTTGCTGTAGATGACCAGGACCAGTCTTGTTGCAAAACCGATAAAGTCGAACTGGATAATGAACCAGAAGATGAGTAGACGGAAGACCTCGGTTTTGACAGTAATTACAAGTAGTGGACCGCTGTGGTCAAACAGAACTCCAAGTCTGGGAAGTAGCAAGAACAGAGTCCACAGGGTGTGGATGGAGAGTACCAAGCCTAGTTTCCTCTGATAATAGTTCGGAAATAGCCTGCTCAAGAGTGAGTAAAGGAGTGCGATGAAAGAGAGATGCGTGCACTGGCTCAAAATGGGGAGTTAGAGCCATAAGAAACTAAACCAAGTGCTGTTGGTTGTGATAAGTAGTAAACAGGGCAGCATCTTCAATATGGGGCCATGGAGGTTCAGAGAGAGCGAGTTGATCCCAAACAGAATAAATTTGAGAGAGGAAATCATTAATAGTATGAGTTGGCTCTTGGCGCATACGGTGAAGATGACTCTGAAGCTGATATTGGTGAGCAAGACCAGTAGTTTGATATCGGTCTTTCAAAAAATCCCAGACGTCTTTTGCCGGAGTAGAAACAGAGTCAAGTTGGAACCGACCAAACTGAAGGCTGATAGATGTAGTAGATGTATTCCGAAGCCAAGTGATGATCTGATAGTTCTTACTATCCAATCTTCTAAGCGGTCTGCATATTTGTCAGCGGATTCAGCGGTCTCTTGGATGGGTTTGCACACATCCCTAGTGATAATACGCCAAAGTTTCTTGCCTTTGAGGAAGCCAGACATGGCTTGGGCCTATAAGACATAATTGGTTCCATCAAAAACAACTGAAATAAGGCGGTAAGAAGAGTCCGGGTGATCCATGAAGAAAAAACAACACTATAGATGCAAAATCTAAAAAAACCGAGGGTACCAGTGAATTCAGAAGGTCGAAATTAGTAGGGAATTGGTCTGAACCGGCCCAAAAAGGCAAAAAAATGGACTGAATCGGCCTATTGAAGAGGTTGAATCGGCCTAGGGCTAACGTCAGCAGCGGCGTGGGTCAGTCAGGTGTGAGCGGCTCAGGCGGCTGATGCGACGCGAGTCTGTGGCGGCTAGGGTGTGAGGGGCTATGGCGGCTCAAGTGGTTAAGGGGTGCGAGCAGCACGAGTTTGCGGGGCTGATGTAGGGCGTGTGAGACAGCGGAGGCGGAAGCGAGTGACGCGCCGGCGACAAAGTGGCGAGTGACGCGCCGGGTGTTAGGTATGATCTGAGGACGCCGTTGGTGGCATTAGAATCGTGAGAAGATTCCGAGCACTTTGGTAGGCTGTGTGAAAATTTTGAAGAACAAAAAGAATCTAAATAGTGACGAAACAGAGATAAATACCAGAAAATTTGAAGCTTTCTGGTTAATGAGCCATAATCTTGCGCTCTGATACCATGTTAAATAATCTGACACAGAGAGAAATAAGTTTCTGTGAAATATATTATATGAAATTGTAAAACCAATGTACATTGATCTCCTTTATATAGGAGAAACTTAAACTAAGGCTATAATTAAGCCTAGGATACAGCTACACATAGCTATCTATGTATATATATATTTAAACCTATCTATCTACAAACAAATCTATCTATATATATATACATTAGCAGTTATTTTTCAAAAAACCATATTATTTTTCATTTTTATTTGAAAAAGCGGCAAAAATGCTGCAGTATCATTTTCGTTTTTCGTGTTTACAAAAATAAAAATGTTTGAAAATGCCATTTTTTGGGGTATAAAATCAGTTTTGGAATATACAATTCTAGTGTTTCCTAAAATGCGATTTAAAAAAAAAAAAAAACCCAAAAAATATTTTCAAAAGCATTAGGTAGACAATTTATATGAATTTTTTAGGAATTAAAACAGAAAAATAGAAAACAAAAACAATACCAAACAACTTTCAAATATTGATTGCCTCAGTTTCTCCAAGAAAACATGTGCTGAGGTCATTTTAGTAAATTACTGAAAGCAGACATTTGAGCATAGTTACAGTTGAAGAAAATGACAGTGGGGGGGGGGAGGGGGGGGGGGGTGGGGGGGGGGGAGGGAGAGGAGGAGAGAGAGAGAGAGAGTCCCCATGATGTTAGAAAAAAGACTCATTAGTCACCACAAACTCAAAGCCCTTACAAAAGCTACATTATTGAAATATTAATTGTTAGGCCTTTCTATGTGAAGTTGCTTTCACTCTCACTTTCTCTGAGCAATTAATATGATCTTGAAAGCTGAACTAAGAAAAACCTTTAGATTCAACTCATAGAACAGAAACCCTGTTAGTGTACTTTCATTGTTTGATGAATTGCTTCAATAGATTTGGGTTGGTCTAAAGATAGAATAACCACTCTCTGAATCCACATGTTTCAGAGCCCATTCAAAGAAAATACTGAAGGTATGCATATTATAATCAATGAAAGCATCCTCTTGAATTATATTGCTCTTGTTGATTAAATAATTATTTTTCATTTTCAACCTTATTATTATTCATATTAGGATTCATGTTCAAAAGGGATTTTTATACTAAACCTCTTCTTTATTTGGGCTCGGGACCGATTTTGTAAAAGATAAAAATACTTAATTCAATGTTTGGGACACAGTTTAGTTTAGTTTGGTTTGGTATTCAAAGGAGTGCAAAATTTATATGGGATTCATGATCTGTTGATGTACTTTCTGCAAACACCATATGCATTGTGATTCTAATTAGAATAAAAAAATGTTGTGTGCCTTCATAATGTGGAAAGAGATGCTTTTAAATTTCGATCATAGTTGTCATAAACAACTCTTGGTACTTGGTAGGTATGGTAAAGGACTTCTATATAAGCTAAAGTGATTTAGATGGATGAGCAGGAAGGCTTTTCTGTAATTATCTTCCATTCTTTGTCCTAGTGGTTCTTGAATTGCTTATATGCCAATTGATAGTTCTACTTTTTTAGCTTCTCTACAAATTTGATTAATGTTTGCTAGTTTTCTTTCGAAATAAGGCAAGTTTGAAGAAAATGGATAGTGTTTGGTAAACATGAAAGTTATGGTCTCATGAATTCTCAATGGGAAAGAAAAGCAGAAGCTGGTTTAGTTTGGTGAAGAGGCTGTTTGTTTCCGAGCCAAAATCGAAGGCTGAAAAGGTTGATTTGCACTCTTCTTTTACATTCTTCTAATTGATCATCACACTTTTATTGGGTAATCAAGAACTCTACTCTTATTTATTTTATTTTTTTATAAATATTTTGTAATTTCAGAAATCAAAGAGGTGGAGATGGGTTTTTGGGGGGCTTAAGCCAAAGCAATACCCAAAACTTGCAGCACCGCATAGACTAATAAGTGAAGCAAGAGAGGAGCAGAGAAAGCATGCGATGGCTGTTGCCATCGCGACAGCAGCTGCAGCAGAGGCTGCAGTTGCAGCAGCCCGTGCTGCAGCTGAGGTTGTCCGGCTCACAGGTGTTCCTCAATCTTCTCAAGAATACACGAAGTGGACTCGGAATTTGGCTGCTACTAAAATTCAAGCTGCTTACAGGGCTCATCTTGTGAATTTCTTAGAACTCTTTGATCATTTCTGGCTTATATAGCTTTTGTTTTGCATTGATTTTTTTTTTTTATAAATTTTTTAAAACAAATTTAGAACTGAAAACATGATGCCAACAATTGAGTTTTAGGTTCCCCTGTCATAACATGTTAATCATGCAAGGATGAACATTTCTTTTGGGTATGTTGTTTCGATTAGCTTGAAAATGGAAACATATTGGAAACATTTCGCAAACGGAAGGGAAATGAGAAAATAAATTTTATCTTCTCCTTTCAATCTCTCCTTTTCTTCTTTTCTTGTTTCTCATATTCTTTAATAAATTTAAGATTTTTTTTGAAAATCGTGTTTCTCCTCCCAAACACACATTAATGTGTAGGGGGTTAATTGTTTTTTTATTCTCATTTCTTACATTTTTTTCTTCTTCTTTTGGTGCATTTTGGTATGTTTTGGTGGTGAAAACATTAGACTATTGATATTCCACTATGTTTGATTTCGGTTTCCTAGAAAACAGAAATGTGCCGACCATTTTGATGAAAAAGAAATGAAATTTGTTAATAGTCTAAATGGGAACAAAGATAACATCCTAACCCAAAATTCATTTCGGATATGGGATTTTGACACAGGCAAGAAAAGCACTCAAGGCATTGAAGGGACTGGTGAGGCTTCAAGCTATGGTTCGAGGACGGATAGTGAGACGCCAAGTAATCACCAACTTGAAGTCTTTGCCACCCACAGAAAATAAACAATCACAATTAGTCCATGAAGTGAGAGTTCCAACTGTCGATGGAAGTTGCAGAGAAAATGAAAAGCAGTTTCTTAGCCTGAAAGAGGAGTTGGAAGAGAAGAAATTGAAAGTAAGTGAAATTGTTGCAAATCATGATATTTGGGAAGGATCAATACTTCCAAATCATGCTAGTTAAAGCAACTTGTTGGGAAACAAAATAACTTGTTTTTTAAAGAACACACACACATGAACAACTGCAATTCCAATTTTGAAGGAAACTGCTAGTTATTTTCTAGTCTAGTTTTCTCTGAAACAAGTACATACACATCCGTTGCTTTGAAAATTTTGTTTTCTCAAAACAAATTTGAATTTTCTATGTATAGGATTAGATGTCAGTTTTGTTTTATTTTTTGTTTTTGTTTTTTGTTTTTGGCAGCTTAGATGCAACAGTCAGAAAAACTGGGATTACAGCTTGTTTTCAAAGGAGGACATGGAAGCCTTATGGTCACGAAAGCAAGAGACCAATGCGAAAAGAGAGCGAATGAAGAAATACTCGTTTTCCCATCGGGTAAGGCCCTCTTTTCATCACCAATAACAAGAAAAAGGAAACAAAATAGAATTTGTTTTATTATAAGAATTAAGTCCAATTATGTCAATATTTTGTTTTTGCACTTCAATTATGAAATAGAATTGTCTTTTTCCCTTTATTTCCCAGGAGAAAAGAAGTGATCAAAATTTGGAAACATTAAAGGAAAATGGAAGATGGAGCAACCATTTAGAACAAAGGGTACTGGAATCTGAGGCGTATAAGAGGAGAGAAATGTTGAATTGCAAATCAATCGCATGTTCAAATTTTCTAGCTGGTGATATGTATGGAACTACACGACTTAGATTGAGAAACATGCCTAACCAGGATTCAGTGGAATTGAATTCCCCATTTACACATCCTAGGAGATCATTTTGCCATGTGAAGCAGAAGTCAATTGGCGACGAAACTTCTTTACCAAACTCTCCAATTTTCCCAACTTACATGGCTGCAACAGAATCTGCAAAGGCTAAGGCAAGATCAATGAGCACACCAAAGCAACGGTTGGGATTTCTTGACACTTGCTCTGATTATAGTAGTTCACCATACAAACTCAGGCTCTCTTCTTGGTCTTCATTCAATGGTGCCATTCCGGATAGAAGACGAGGAGCAACTCAGCAGATATCTCTAAGCATGAATGGTCTTTACTGAGATTGACTTGCTAAGGCCTCATTTGGTAATGCTTCCATTTTCTGTTTTAACGATATCAAGTGACATCTAAGTTTTGATTGATGGGGTGGTTTTTAAAGGTCTTGTACTAAGTGTGTGTAAAGAAATTTGCAAGATTTTAGCTTGATGATTTCTAACATGGTAAGGGAAGATCACATTGAGCTTATTTGGTCCCTTCTAAGATGTGTGGTATCTAGAGAATGCTGATAGACCTTGTAATAGGATTGAAGAAGGAAAGCTTGGACGAGTTCTTAAAAGATGAATTTGAAATATCTTCTATCTTTTTGTACCCATTTAATTTTTTGGAGGTTATTTTTGTCTTTGTGTATGTGAGGTTGCGGGAAAGTGATGTAGCCAAACATTCCTTTACACTCCGTTTGGACAGAAGGGTTTGGTGAGAAAGAAAAAGAAATGGCCAGAATAGGAAACCCCTTCACTTGTTTGGATGATCAAATAGGTGAGAAATTGTGAGAAATAATGAGAGATGGTGAGAAAATGATTCTCATCAAGCCTATCACCAAAAGTGGTGAGATTTGGTGATCAAGGAATTGAGTTTAATGAAAATTTTCTAAAATATCAAAATTACCCTTATTAAAGAACCTAGCTTATTAATATGGAATGTAATTTTGGTAAAATAAAATACATATTACTTTTCTTTCTTTTCTCTTATTTACCCTATTCAAACAAGATTGGTGAGAAACCACATTCTCTTATCTTTTATTCATCCTAATATAATAATGAGAAACCATAATCATTTTTTTTCTGACCTTACCTTACGATCCAAACGGAGAGTTGAAGTGATAATTGCCCTGACTCGAAAGAGTTTGGGGGTGTTTGGTGTGGATTATGGGCTTTTTTGAGCCAGCTTATAGTTTCTAACACTATAAGAAAAGTGGGCTTAAAAGACGGAACTATTTGCGACGGCACACTTGCCGTTTCAAAAAGTCACTTTTTGCGACGGTAGAAAATGCCGTCTCAAAAAAGCAGAGTATTTGCGACAGCACCATTTGCCGTCGCAAAAAATGAGAGTATTTGCGATGATATTTTCTGCCGCCGCAAATACTCTGCTTTTTTGAGACGGCAAATTGTGCCGTTGCAAATACTCTCCTTTTTCGCGACGACATTTTCTGCTGTCACAAAAAGTGACTTTCGTGTTTTTATTATTTATTATTTTTTTATAGTGAATATTTTTAAAATTTTAAATATTTTTTTTAGATGCACCTTACTTAGATGTATCTAAGAAATAAAAAATTTATGAAAAAATATTTTTAAAAATTAATAAATACATAAAAATACAAAAAAAAAAATGTATTGAATTATTGTATTTTTTTTTTGTATTTTTGGTATTTAGTGAATTTTTAAAAGATTTTTTTTACAATTTTTTTTTTTACTTTTTAGGTGTATTTATGTTAGGTGTGTCTAAAAATTTTAAAAAATTCAATAAAAACAATATAATACGGAAAACAAGAAAGTATAATTTTCTCAAAAGAGTTTTTGGAAAACTCTAACCTAGCATAGTAATTGTGGTTTTGAGACAGCTTCATATATATACAGTCACAAACTAGTTTGAATAAATGCAACGGTATTTTTCTATCGCAAAAAAAAAATTAAAAAAAATGATGTCGTCTTACTCTTTTGATATAACATTTCTCTTTTCATTCATTTTTTCATCTCTCTGTCTCTCTGTCTCTATCTCTCTCTTTTCTCTTTATCTCTTTCATTCATCACTCTTCTTTCTCTATCTGTCTGTTTCTCTCTCTCCTTTTCTCTCTGTGTCTCTCGTCTATCTCTCTTCTCTCTATCTCTCTCATCTGTCTTCTTTCTCTGTCTCTCTCCCTTATCTCTCTTCTCTCTATCTCTTTCATTTATTTTCTCTCTCTTTTTCTCTTATCTTTCTATCTCTCTCGCCCATCTCTCTTCTCTCTCTATCTCTCTTTTTTTCTGTGTCTCTCTCTTGCTCATCTCTTGTTTCTCTCTTTTTCTATCTCTCCCTCTCTCTCTCTCTCTTTCTCTCTCTATCTCTTTTTCTGTCTATCTCTCTCTCTCCTTGTCTCTCTCTCACTCATCACTCTTCTCTCTCTGTCTGCTTGTCTATTTGTCTATTTCTCCCTCACTATGTTCGCCTTGCTCACTCTCTTACTCTTATCTTCTCTATTTATCGAGCTCCTTCTCGATTTATCGATCCACTATAAGAAAATACACTTTTAGCAACCACTTTGTCTCTCTCTCTCTCTCGCTCATCACTCTGTTTCTGTCTCTATCTCTCTTCTTTATCTGTCTCTCACAAAATTAAAATATTTTTTAAAAAAACCACCTACCGCATTTTCATATAGAAAAAAAAAATATTATTGTCATCTCTTCTTCATAAGAATGTGTATTTTACCTTATTTATTTTTGTGTCATATATATAATTTATATGTATCAACAAAAAAATTCAGGTTGTTAGGGTTACTTGAGTTATGAAAACTCATGCGCAAACAGTTTTCAAATTTAATTTGGATTAATAAATTTTGGTCCAATTTCTGACTAAATTTAATAGTTTAATAAATTTTTGTTAGACTGTAGAATAACACTTGCTGGGTTGCATTGAACTAAAAGTGTTCATTGGCCATTGGTTTTATTTAGTATACTTTTTGATCTATAATATACACTTGTCATTGTGATACTTTGCAAACTCATTCTTTTTATTGATGTGTACAAAAATTTCGCTGCCATCTGGATGATTTGACTGTCCCCTTACATCTAGGTAATTTGTGATAAATGCATAATGACCAAATGTTAAAAGGTTGCCTGAATCAAATCATTCAACAATGTTCTGCTACTGAATTTGTTTTGGAAAGAGATTTTTTGCCAAGTTCAAAGTGCCTTATTACCTAATTTAATAAGTATATTGAAGTAGGCTTTTATGGAGCAATATAATAGCAGGATTGTTAAGAATAGACTTTTAGGCATGATGGAAAACATGTACTGTACATATATATAATAGAATCCTTGATTGTATATCTCAACAAGGCCTTATGGGGTAATTGTTGAATTGATTTCTTGTTAGCCACCAAATTAATCAATGATAGTTTTCTTGTTATCTTCTGTTAGATTGGCTAATCAAACTAGTGTGATTAGTCAATTGGGATCAGTAACTGCTAGTCAGTGTATATCATGTCTATTGCTGGGATGCCATGTGTAATTTGTGCATGCTCTTGACTAGTGAGTATGCAGAGCATCATCCAAAATAGTAACAGATTTAAAAATTGTGAGGGTGGCTTCACACAGAGGCCAAAATTTTGGTGATTTGGGCAAAGATATGCAAAGATAAATTGATCAGTGTATGGTTAGAGCATAAATTGATTGTTCTAACCAAAAATTCTTTTCAGGAGCATTAATTAATCATTTTAATGTTTCTTTTCAGGAGCATATCTTTCAGGAGCATATCTTTGCAATGTGGAACTTGAAAAGAAAATAGTAGTACTTGTCACTCTTGCTGTGGTTCCTCTCATTGCTGCAATTGGAGGTGTCCACACCACCACATTAGCTAAGCTCTCTTCCAAAAGCCAAGAAGCTCTTTCTGAAGCAGGAAACATTGCAGAACAGGTGAAAGAAGATTGAAAATTCCAACATTTGTTCATTTTCTACTTACTCAGAAAAAAGTACCCACAAAATTAAATTTTCTCTGTTTTTTCAATTGGTTGTTGCTGATTTAAGCTAACAATGCAGACAATAGCTTGAATTTGCATTGTTGGATTGAGAATGGACATAGTTTCCTTGTAAATTTTCTTTGTTTTTGTATCTGGGTATTGTTGAATACAGAAGTTTTTAAGCTTGATGTGTAATTATGTAGTTGGATAATTTTGTTGATGTGTAATTATGAATGGAAGAATATTTTATTATGGAGAAATTGTTATTTTTATATAAGAATTTTTATATTATTATGAAATTACTATAGAGAAATTTTAATATTTTTAATAATTTAATCGCAGGATATGTTTTTCTTTTTTGTGACGGCATCACACCGTCGCAAAAATAGAAAATTTTAAGAGCAAAAAACAGAAAATTTTAATATTTTTATTGATTTTGTTACAGGTTTTATTTTTTGCGACGACACTAAACGGTCACAAAAAATAGAAATTTTATTTTATTTTTAATACTTTTTACGACGGCACACCGTTGCAAAAACAGTGTTCTTGCCATTGCAAAAAAAAGCCTATTAGCGACGGCATTTTTGCCATCTCAAATGACATTTTTAGCGACGGTAAAATAGTGTCGTCACAAAAAGTCAATAAATTTCAAACATTATTAGCGACTGCAAAGTGCCGTCGCAAAACATTAGTGACGACACTGTGCCGTCGCAAAAACTCTTTTGCAACGCCCCCAATTGCGACCCCCCTTTTGCCGTCGCAAAAAGTCATTTTCCATCGCAAAAAGTTAAAATGCCGTCGCAAAAAGCTGAAATTTTAGTAGTGTAACTTTGAAAAAGTTATTTTGGACTATTTGGTTAAATTTATTTTAAACAGTTTCTGATTCTAACAAGTTATGTTAACTCAAAAAAGCTGATTCTAAGAAGCTGCTTACCCTTACTTCTGATTATCAACTTCTGCTGTGGAAATGTTAATTTACGGTTTTACTCTTAAATTTTTTTATTTTTTTAAAAATAGAAAAAAACCCAAATGGACTATAGATTATTATTATTACTTTTTATGAGAAATGCAGACATGTAGTGAATAGCAAAAAATAAAAGTTAATTGAAAAAACTACTTTATAACTTATTTAACAAACATTACTTAGCAACTTAAATCTATAATTTAACAGCTACACCAAACAGATTAATAACTTTTGATTAAAGTTATAATCCATAATTTATAATCTGTTTTAACAATTACACCAAATGGGCCTATAAGGGGTGATTATAACTTATTTTAATTTGGGAATCTGTACCAGACTATTTGGTGCAGCTTCTACTTATAACTTTTTAAGCAGAAATAACTTAAATAAGCTGAAAAAAACTACTTATTTAGAAGCTGAGAAATGGGTGTTTTTGGTTTCTACTTTCTGATTATTAACTTTTAACTTATAATAAGCTGCACCAAACAACACTTTTGTCGCCGAGTTCAAAACAATTCACCTCTAGGGCTTGCTTCAAGAACACTTCTATGAATTGTGTATAAGACTGATAGAAAACAGAGAAAAGGAAAGAAATTCCAAGTGAGAAATCTGTATTCGGATCCCTTTATTATAGACAAACAAGGAACATGGTTTGCACTACTTCCGAATAATCATAATCTTTTTTAGATGCACCCAAAATTT